TTCCAAAGATCTTTCAAATCAAAATCACCCAGAAACTATTAACTGGGGGAAATTAACACAGTACTTGTAGTAGTCCCTACAACAACTCCTCTCACCTGCTTGAAGATGGTACCATGTAAACGTTAAATGGAAATGATTTACAGATCTCTCTCCAGTTACTTTTTACTGTTATTTCTGGGCATAGAATATGATAAACTAGGAAAAATCCTTTTGACAGCTTTAAATGAAATATAAAGACTGTCTTAGTGGAAATCTAGTAGATACATATATGTATTATATGTATCTATATAAAGCAAATAAGGTACAGTTAGCAACGATAACTGAGGCTTTTATTTATTTATTTATTTTCCTACAAAGGGCAGAGGCACACATTTTCAGTGCGGTGCACACATTTCTTTCCTTAATTCTATTTCTTTTTTCCTTTCAGATTAACACAATGCTTATGAAGAACACACACACACACACACACACACACAAAAAAAAAAAAAAAAAAAAAAAGCCATAGTAGTATAGATTTCTTTGAAAAATTCAAATTCAAAATTTTCTTCACAGAGTGCCCTGTTATCCAGACACTCACTAATGTAATGGAAAAGAACAGTAACATCTGAGTTCAGAAAGAGGTGCTGAGTTAAGTCTGATGGAAGGTGGTCTACATTAATTTTAATGTAATAAAAACTACCCACTATAAAATGCATAAATGAGTTCTTTATTCATACTTCAGATGTAGAGGATAAATTATTATGCATCAGAAAAGCGCTCTCCTCTGGTCACAAATATAAAGCTCTCTTTCCATCCAGTCATCACAGCTTCTGCCTTAATATATGAGGAAAACTCTGAAGAAAATGAAGAATTCTCAGTATCGAGTTAATATTTTTTATCTACGCAGTGTCACCTCCTTTTGTGCCCTCTGTATAGCACCAGAGTAGTTGTGACTATAACATATTTAGGTGGTGGGGATCACAGCAATAAAAAATGTGAAGCACTTTGCAAGCAGGTATAATGTAATGGAGATTTAAAAGAACAAAATTATGCAAAACGTAAGTATTTCATTAGCAAGATTATGAATTGGCATCCTGAGAATATTTGTTGCTGCACAATGGAAAAAAAAAAAAAAAAAAAAAAAAAAGAGCCACCAGAAAAAAAAGTGTAATGCATTAACACACAGATAATGATATACAAGAATACATAAATACAAAGACATATGTAAATGGAATAATGCTACATGTTTAACTCCTTTAAATATGAAGCACTTTACATGTTTAGGAACTAAAAATTGATACTTTGCCAGTATTACTTGGTTAATGAAGAACCTATACTTCTCTCATCCACTTTGTTCTCTTGAGCCTTCATTTTATTATGCTGCCCCTGCATATCACTGTTGAAACAGAGCAATGAAGAAGAGGTTCAGCAATGAATAATAGTTTCGGTTTGTAATGTTTCAGCAAAGCTAAACCTCTGTAAGTAACCCTTTTATAAGGTTAATTCCAACTGCTATCTTGTTAGTCATTTTCAACTGCGCTAAGACAAGGCTGTACTTGAAAATCAGATCTTCTGATGATTTCTACCACCTTTCAGTGAGGACTAAGCTATGGCACAAGAAAATAATCATGAATATTTTTTCAATTTTATTAAACATGTGCTATTTTGCATGGCCTTCTGGAGCTTCACAGTACTAAGAAGTCAAATCACAGCAAAATATGTAAACAAGGGTACATGTCACAGTAAGTGTTATAGCATTCTTCCAACTTGCACAAGTCATATACCAACACTGTATTCCAATTTCCCTTTTTAAGGTATGCTAGATGGATCTCCAGCAAGGGTGTTTCCCTTTTGTTTGGCAACTTGTTGGATGTTCATGGCACTCTGTACTACCAAAGCAGAGGATTTCCAGACCCTTGCTTTGACATTCAGGTTAAATAGCAAAGTATATTAATTTTTATTTATTTATTCGTTAATGTCAGCTTATCATGTGTCAACATGAAGCACTATCTCAGGATCTCTAACTGAGCTAGACTGCATCAGTTTCTAAACTATATTTTGATTTGTAACCTGACACTTCCTGAAATAGCCTTCTAAAAACAGACATAAAATGAATTGAGTGTGTTGGCCGATAACAGATGACATTAATGCTGTAAATCTGTGTGCTCTTCCAGGTGGCTTCCAAAATTAACTAGTCACCCCTAACTGTTTAGTGAAATTGTCAATGATTTAATAGACACATTAAACTCCTATTTATAAATTACTGTGACATTACTAGTGCAGCGGTTCCAGAATAAGCAATATGAGTTCCCATGCAGCTGTAACTCTATTGTGCCCAGCTATCATGGCTGGAAGATGAAGATAAAAATAATTCCTGAAATTATCCTGAACTCTAATACTTTCAATATCTCTTTAAAATACAACACAGTAATATTAAAAAGAGAATTACCTTGAAAATGTATGGTTGTGGAGTAACGTTAAATTACAATAAACATCAAAAACAGTTATTTCTGCTCCTAAGAACTCAATACCATTTCATATCTTAATTTTTTCTATGATTTAAAAAAAATTAATACATATGATATAAAGATACTGATTAACCACTGTTGAGTGTATTTTGACACACTGAGAACTGTGTGAATTTATATTATGCATGTCTTTCACAATCTGGCCTTGAAAGAACAATTTTTTCCACAGAAGTTCTCTCATTCAGTTCTTTGCTCCTTTGAGAAATTCCTGGAAAAAAAAAAGGGGGGGAGGGGGATGGCAAGAGGGGAGGAGTGGAAGGGAAGACTAGAGGGGACTAGAGGAGAATGGTAGCATTTCCATTACCTTCTTTTCCTTCTGCTTGTTTCATAAGAAATCAAATAAAGAAGACATCAAATAAGTGGCAAATTCCTTTTCAAGTAGACTGAAGCAAATATTTAATATACATAAAATATGCTAGATTAAACATCAAATGGATGCTTGACAGATAATAAACATTGTTTCAAATGATGATAATCTGGAATATTTTGAATAAAAGTAGATTTTTCTGACTAGCTTATTGATGGACTAATGCAGCACACTTTTTGTTGTTGTTTCACCACTGAGGTCCTCCTATATTTTATTTTCTTTTGTATTTAATAGTGGAACATTTCCTTCTGGCATATGATAACCTTCCAAGAAACATAGCTATCATTTGTGCTACTTGCAATCTGACTTAACATTGTGTTTGGAAAACGTACTTTCAGCAAGTTGAAACAGTTTTTAAAAAGTCTTGTGAGCTATAAACATACCAAGTAAATCTGTGATGTGATAAGCATTATTTTTAATGGAAATATCCCATTAATTTTAAAGCTGCTTACAAGCTTAAATTCAAATGTATTGATAATAGTCAATTTTATGACTATTAATTATTACTAAATTAATAGTAATTAATAAAATAGTAATTAATAAAATAGTATTACTAAGAGTAATACTATTTTGGCTGCTCAGGGCTGACCCTAAATGACTACCCAGGCTATCTTACATAAAAGGATAAAAACTAATGAACTACAGTGATGCAGCGTTAGCATCTCTGTCTTCAGTGGTAAAAAGCACAGCAATCACGTTGCCCATGCTACTGCGTCAAGTGTGATTAGAGTCCTCGTTTGCTTCTTTAGTAGGTGGCCAGAAGGAAAAAACAGGTGTTAGAGACAGGACAATTGGTAGTAACTGGACATTACAAAGATGCAATTTTTCATGATGGGATCAGACTGTTTTCAGCTTGTAAATGAAACTCATCATATGTTTGCAATATGAACATATAGTCTTACTGCAAATATTTCTGGCTAATATATTCTAGTGCTTAACACTAGTGCCTACATCTGTAATATTCAAGAATACTTTTGTCTGGTTTTTCCAAGCACCTAATGAGCCAAATGTAGCCTTACACTGCTCTATTTATACATTCATCATTTGTAATAGCTTTCTGGAAGGGAAGAAGGGAAAATTAACTTTTTGTGAATTTCATTTATATTTAAAAACAAACAAACAAACTATCATAATTCATAGCATCTACATTAGAAAGAAAGAAAGAAAGAAAGAAAGAAAGAAAGAAAGAAAGAAAGA